TTGTTGCACTTGTTACTTCGGTTAACTGACCTCGTGTATTGCGACAGCCAAAGTCGCGTGTTCAACTACGGCCCAAAAGTGCTGCCTGGTTCGACTGCACTGTTGCGGTTGATGCAACGCCTTAGAGTCCATGGTAAAATTTACAACCGGCTGCTACCTGGATTGTTGGCCTAGCTTAGGCCCATGAAAAGGGCCCTAGAAGGCCTAGATGGATTCAGTTGTCAAATCTAACGGTCGATTAACGCGCACGCGTTTGATGTTAAGGTCTTCCCTCGCGGTTGCTATGTCCTTTTCATTGTCTCCAAGTTTTGACAGTCCCAGGTAAAGCCTTCTTTAGTTAAATAACCACCCTCACATTTTCATGTTCCCCCTGGACGTTGTCACTAATGTGCGTGCTTATGGGCACGTCCGTCTGCTAATTGCCGTAATTAATAGACATTCTTCGTGCTGTTTGTATGTTAGCATTGACAGAATGCCACTCTCGCACTGCTACTTCTAAACCTGTACGTGGTCAGACTGCATTAGACTATAAGAGGTTGACTTTATTGTCACCCGGAATCCTGAACTGTTGCCTCACCTGTGGGTGCATAGATCTCAACCAAACCTCCAGATTCGCGCTTGTACAACTTCCGAGTGTGTGTACTTTCCTCAGCTCTTGTGTTCCCAACATACGCACACACACACACACACACGACAGTTCGACCGCTGCTCTCGTCGATATCCACCACGCGCTTCAGAGGGCCGAAGCAACAAGGTGACTCCCGCGGGATTATATTGAAAGTAGACTTGCGGAGAATCTACCATACTCTCCCACGTCGGAACCCGATGTCAAGACAAAGTCGAGAAGACCGAGGATTAGGGTGTGTGCAAGCGGCTTACGCGACCAATACTCAGCACGCGTACCAACCGCACGCGTCGCTAGGTAGGCTCCCGCCTGGCAGCACCATAAAGGCCACATTAAGAAGGAGCCATTGAGCCTGACTCTCAGTCCGCAGTAAGCCACTCCACACAGCAAGACGCACACTGGACTCATTGCGGTGTCCAAACTATCTCGTCATTTGGCAACCCTACAAGCCACGGCTTTTAGCGCACCGTGGTAGCTTCAAGCGCATCAGATTGTTTTTGGTCAGGAAAGAAGTGCACTGGGGGTTGATTTCACCCTCTCCCCCACCCCAGCAACAGGCCACCGATTAGCTGCTCGTTTGCCTGGGCTCAGTGCTAAAAATGAAAATATGCACACCGGAGTCTTCCACCAGGGACTGGATACGGCAGCATATCTGTTCATTTCAGCAATCAATACATCGTTAAAGGGTTAGGAGGTGACTGCACAGGGCATTATACTTGCGGGCGGTCGACACGCCGGAGAAATGAGATTACCAAGGTTACAAACTCAGTAATTTCTCGGCTCCTCTCGCTCCTAACATAGCCAATTATTTTCGCAGCAGCGAAGTTGAACCCATCGTTCTCCTCGGTCCGGTGGTTTTTGATAATGCTCTTTCTATCGTACTATCATGTTATCTTTAATGTAAACTTGATCACAGCTTTTCGGCTGGCACGACTGTATGTAGGCAGCTCTGACCTCCTTTGTCTCAGTTGTATCGATCCTCTGGCAATCGAATATTGTTTCGCTCAGGAACTGAGCTGTCACCAATCTTGCTTCTTCGCTGTCAGCTGGTAAGTCTGGATATATTAACACTCCGTTTGGTGCTTGACGGACCATCTACTATTCATCTTATGTATTTCGAGTATTGTTAATTACGGCCCCAAATGCTCACTATAAGTATGAGTC